AGCAGTTATTCCAGACCCTTAGGTATGTATACTGCGAAGCTACTAGACTAGGCACTAACTGAGGTGCTTTTACTGCTTTTTCCCCTACTGTGGAAAACCCCTACTAGGTGGGCTCAAAACTTCCTCAACATAGATCTTAAGGATAGCTAGGGTTGCGCCTTCACTCTCATATATACTCACGAAAAGAGTCCTCGGGGCCTGGCCTTTAGAACAATTTCCATTTTTGCGTACTCGTAGCGCTTATCTCTAAGATTTAGAGCAAAATCCCTCTTTTGAGTGACTGAAGGCTTTCGTTATCGTCGTCGTCGCGGCGAGGGTGAAAATTTCGACAGTATGTGACGTGATCTCTTGTACTTCCAATAGTAAAGTAGCTCTAAACTAAAGACCGCTGTTTTCGCGAACAAGGGTGATCAAGAACCTCACAAGTAAGTTAATTAGCGTGAAGGTGTCATTCGATAAGAAATGATTAGCTTTAGTCCTGATGAGCGAACCTTGGTGAATATGTCCAGACCCACGTCACACCGCGATGATCTGATAGGATATAACTGTGGTGTCCTGCAGGAACAACGATGATTTTCTACACGTGAGTGGCATCATGACTAATGACAATAGTCAAAGGAACTATCTTTATCGGATCGTTTCCAGTCCCCTCTTGTTTGTATTGAATAAGTCGAGGCATGTGGAACACGGCCGCCTGGGGTCTTGGGACGAGTTCACACGTTGTTACTAATGTCGATTCCTAGAATCACTCCTGCATTCTCATCATAATTTGATCGGACGGCTCAAGTCACAGCAATTTCCCAGCTCCATACCTAGCACCACTGCAGACGATATGTGGATAACATGCCTGCGAAGGAGACCTGAACGTATCAGTGTAACAAGTGGCCAAAACAACCTTGTCTCTTGGTTGAGGCCGAAAAGTCTTTCTGGTCCAAATTTCAGATCCAATTTCGCTCTACTAGCCAGACCACACGCGGCTGATGTTGTGTCGAGTTGTAGACGCCAATAAGTATCAAGCAACAATTCGTCAAAAGGATCATCATAGAATGATTGTCGACGTGTTGGGAGTGTTCGCTTTCGCAAACTAGATCGGGGACGTTAGAAATAGATCCGCCTGTGTGACATGTCAATTTCTGGGAAATAATACGGCTCATCTACGCTAGGGGATGATGCATTCCCCTGTTCACCCCGCAATCCTATGTTGCTTACAGCAGGCGGATCGCATCGGAGGCCGAAGTTAAAGCCAATCAACACCCCGTAACTTGACACGATTCTCATGAACATATCGTGTGGTGTGCTGAAATGTCTGTTATTCCTCCCCAGAGCATTGTGTTACTTTTTGCCCTTTTCTTTTTAGGCTACTTCAGCCCAGGACAGACGACTGTGTCATCGTCCTTGGCTCGATGTTCGGAGACGTTGCTATGGAATGGCGATACAGGGGCCACAGAATAACACTCGGTTTTACTAGGCGCGAGTTCTAGGGCGTAGGGCCGATACTCCGCGACCAAAAGGGGCGCCAACAGCAGACCGCACCTAACGCAACCACGAGCCCGCTGGTCCTCTGCTTTACGGTAATAATTTAACCTCACGAGTATGCTCGATACCCCTTTTGTGGCCAGTGGACGCCATTGGCCACGGGCTGTTAATCAAGTCCAAGAGAGAGCATCAGCAACGTCGTGCCGTTTTAAGTCAGGAACTGCGAGGCCGAATGCTCTGATCACTGATAGGTTGGCGACTCCTCATATTTGCGGCTGCATGTGACTTGAATAGGAAGGCTAACCGCCATAGCGAAGAGTTTTCCAGAGTGGGCAGCAGCGCACCACTTGCCCCTGAGCAGAAAAAGACCTCAATGCGCTCCCACTTCAGATTTGCCTGTTTTTCGGACTCAAATACGGTAGCTCTGGCCGGGATCAGGAGGATACTTTTTCTCTTTCAGGCCAGGCGTGCGGCTTGCGCAGGGGATCGATGGGCGCACGCTCCACTGTTTGCTGGGGCGGAACCCAATTATGAGCCCTGTAATTGTCGTATGGTTCCCAATTGAGAACGGGATTTAATTAAGTGACAGCTGTAGTCTGTTCCAGATAAAAGATCGTTCCCGCGGCGGCTACTGTATCCGCGGGCGTAGATCGAGGCGCGAGCACGGGGGATTTATCAAGAGGCTTCGGCTCCCATATGGCAACTGCTCTTCGCAACTCTGTTCCTACCAAACTTCTATCTCTTTTGGTTGTCACCTCTCATATCGTCTCTCGTTCCTTTGGCTTGTCACTCTAACCTCTCATTCATTCATTGGGTTCCGGAACTCAACCACGATATTTCCAATTCTTCTTCTACGAACCAACATCAGCCCTTCACCCAGCTTTTTTTAATCTTGGTTCGATCACGACAACTCCACAATGAAGTCGGCTCCCACTCTCTTGGCGGTCTTGGCGGGACTTGCCAACCTTGTTGCGGCTCAGACTGTCTCTGGCAAGCCTGAAGGCTTTGCTACTGGTGTTACTGGTGGTGGCAGCGCAACTGCCGTTACCCCTGCGGATATCACCGAGCTCAAGGAATACCTCACTGACGACGAGCCTCGTGTCATCCTCCTCTCCAAGGAGTACGACTTCACCGAGTCTGAGGGCACCGAGTCCGGCAATGTTTGCGCCAGCTGGGGCACCGGCGCTGCTTGCCAGAAGATCATCCAGGACGACTGCGGCAGCAACCCTGCTTCGACCGAGACTTGGTACAAGGCCCCGACCCAGCCTATTGACGTCGGCAACAACAAGACGATCCTCGGTGTTGGCAACAAGGGCGCTATCAAGGGCAAGGGCCTGCGCATGAGAGGCAGCAACGTCATGTAAGTGCCAACCTAGTTCGTGAATCTTTTCGTGCACTAACAGCCAAAAGCATCCAAAACATTCAGGTCTCCGACTTGAACCCCAAGTACGTTTGGGGTGGTGATGCTATCGGCTTCGATGGCGCTGACCTTGTCTGGGTTGACCACGTCACGGTAAGTCGCATCGTCGTAAGCAACATGGTGATGATGTTGACCCTTGAGACAGACTGCCCGTCCTGGCCGCCAGCACTACGTCTTCGGCTTCAACCCCAGCAAGCGCATCACTCTCTCCAACAACTTCATCAACGGCGAGTCCGACTACTCTACCGGCTGCAACGGATACCACTACTGGACCTTCGAGATGGTCGGCACCGACGACCAGATCACCATGAAGAACAACTACATCTACAAGACCTCCGGCCGCAGCCCTGCCCTCAGCGGTGGCACTCTCCTCCACGCCGTCAACAACGTGTGGGACGACAACGACGGCCACGCTCTCGAGGGTGGCGACACCAAGGCCCGCGGTATCTTCGAGGGTAACGCCTTCATCAACGTCAAGGCTCTCGTCTCCGACTACCAGGGCAGGCTGTTCTCCTCCCCCGACGCCACCACCAACGCTCAGTGCAAGACCGCCCTCGGCCGCGCCTGCGAGGTCAACGTCTTCGACACCACCACCTCCACCGACTTCTCCAAGCTCAAGGACACCTCCTTCTTCAGCGAATTCTCCGGCTTCTCCATCGCTTCCGCCGAGTCCGCCAGCTCCATCAAGACCAGCGTCCCCAACAACGCCGGTGCCGGCAAGCTCAGCTCGTCCAGCAGCTCTTCTGGATCTACCAAGTCTGCTGACACCGTTGCCGAGGCTGCTGCCACTACCCCTGCCGCCACCTCTGCTGCTGCTCCCGCCGCCGCTGCCACCAGCGCTGCTGCCAGCTCCGGCTCTGGCTCCGGCTCTGGCTCCGGCTCTGGCTCCGGCTCTGTTGCTCTCTACGGCCAGTGCGGTGGCCAGGGATACTCTGGCGCTACTTCTTGCGCCTCTGGCAAGTGCGAGTTTGTCAACGACTGGTACTCCCAGTGCGTCTAAGCAACTTCTATGCCATGATCCGGGTTCTGTCGAGGCCGATGGACCGTTCTGTGATACCCATCTGTTAGTCTTGAGAGGCACACGCATTCTTGTAACATTGTCATCGCACATATATTCCTTGTAAATATCTTTGAGGCCAGGGGCTAAGTAAAATAAAACCAACCAGCGTCTTGCACTACTTTTATCTGGCTCCAGACGATCAGTGATCCAGCATGTGAATTGCAAGGCTACGTTTGTCTCAGGCGACTGGTCCATTTTAGCCCTTTTCACGGGGCAAAGCGTTTGCTAATGTACCCATTGGGGCCACCGTAGGCAACTGAGACCAAGGCAGGTAGGCAGGCGGCAGAAGTGTTTCGCGATGGGAAGTGGCTTGTGTTTCCCTCAAATTCCATCAGGTGTCACTTCAGCACTTCTACCTACCATGGGCATAGATATTAAAGTGGCAGCAAGTATGTAAAAGTGTTCGGTTCTGAGTTCGATCGCGTCTAGGACGCCGGATTTAAACTTCATGTACCTCAGGCATCGGAGAGTTGATTGCGGCTGAAGACACCAAGGCGATGCGTCGATGGCGGGCTGTCTCTAATAGTCTCATGGATTAGAGGGATCTCTCCGCAGCTGCATCTTGGCACTTCGTGCTCTCATTGGGTTGGAAACGCATGCTTCATATACCATGTCTGAGACTTCCACAGCCTGGCCCCAGGAAACAGGGCACATTCGGAACAGTATTGTAGTCTGCGAGGTAGTGACATGGTCTGCCAATGTCCTGAGATCCTGCAAGTCTTCGTAAAAGAGGCTGGTTATTGCGCGTAGACATTGACAATCTTGATCACGGCCAAAAGATGGTGATGAGCCTCGAGTTACTTTACCTTTTCAGTATCTTAGAGTAAACTTTAAATCTTGCCGGGGAGAGTCAGTTGCAAGCCTTCTATATTAGCTGCGATGGCTTTTCCATTTCAGCTGTAGTGAGTCAGATTCTGTTGTCTCTTGCGTGGCTTAAGCTAAGCTCAACTCCCATCACAGACATCGCGCGGCATGCGAATGCGCAATTGTGAGTGTGATAAGAGCATTTGAAATACGTACATGGAAGTCCTCTCGCAAAATTTCATGTCTAATGACGGAGGCAGGACAACATCCTATAGCTGCTTCTGCACCGCAAGCTCGGATGGATTCAGCAACATCATTGCCACTGCTGTTGCGAAGAACTGCGGCCAGCTGAGCGCGGAGGTCGCGAGCGCAACGCAGGTGTTTGATGCATATTGCCAACTTGGCAAAGCTGATGAAGCCACAGGTTGTTATACTGAGAACCTCTTCTATGTCTGTATGTTGCTAACATCACCGGTGGAAAGATGTTAGTGGGCCAACTTCGACGACAGGCGGCAGTATTCCGACCTCCTCACCAGCCTCTTCTACCGCTGAACCATCATCTGGTCTTTCTACTGGAGCTGTGATCGCCGTCAGCACCTGTGTATCTCTCGTCACTATCGCGATATTCACCACTGCCTATTTGTTATGGCGTCGACGCCGTGCCAACAGGAAACCCCCAAGCGTCGAGGCACATGCCGAAGTGTTTGTGGAGAACGGAGAACGGAAAGGAGCTCAAGGAAATGATGGCACGGTAGAAAATTTCAAGGCAGAGCTGGATGCCAGGAATGAAATAAATGAGTTGCCAACTCCGCCGCCGGACCATGCACGAGCTCCAATGAGGGCAGTAATGGTAGTTATTGAGAACAGGGCAAAGCTCATAAATTATAATCAATCTTTTCCTCTTTTCACTCTGGATATTGTACAAACCTCGGAGTTGAGAAAGTCCACAGGACACGCCAGCACCGAGGTTCGGCGGAAGCCCGACTGCAACGCTCACGCAATGATGCGAGAAATTGCACCATCGTCGGGGTCCCTTTTGACACACCAAACTGACAGCCGGACAAGCTCAGATGAACCAACCACGAATCTCGGGAGCCGATGCAAGATAAGACGTCGGCAATAATGCCACGCGGTCGCTAATACCGGCACGCGGGTCGGGGCCTAGGCCGGTGCTTGGTGCCTTCGCAGGGACTCCGGCCCCTGCTTGCCGGTGATGTGCTCCGGTATTGTGGTGACGACTTTGGGGATTTCTTAGTTGAGAGGGAGAATAGAGAATGATTGTATTTATTAAGATCAAAGCGAATGCGATTGTCTGAAAGACTAGTGGGGACGTACCAACGTCCTAGGCATCGCGTGTCTGAAGCATCTACCCATCATGACCGAGCCTGCACGCCGGTGGTATCACTGGTTCTCACCCAGCGATAGTCCCGAGGAACGCAAGCTGATCCTCAAGCTGGATCTACTCATCGTTCCCTATGCTTTCATCCTCTACTGGGTTAAGTATATGGACCAGACCAACATCAGTATGGCACCCTCAACCCACCAGGCCGATGTGAATTGACACGTTCTAGATAATGCATACGTATCAGGAATGGCTGATGAACTCGGCTTCCATGGGAATGAGTTGGTTCAGTTCCAGACCATCTTCGTCGTGGGAAACGTGGTCGGCTTGCTGCCGTTCATCTACCTGTTCCCTCGAGTACCGATGCACATTCTGGTGCCGACCCTCGATTTAGGTGAGCTACGCCTCAGGCTGCGAATCGTCTGCAATAACATAGGCTGACTCTTGTCGAATAAGGATGGGGACTGTTCACTCTGCTCCAGTACCGCGCCCAAAGCTATGGTGAGATCATGGCCTACCGGTTCATGGTATCTTTGTTCGAGGTTGGTCTCGGTGTTCCGCATCCCGAAGTGCCTGCTGACGCGTTTTAAAGGCCTCGTACTTCCCTGGCGTTCACTTCGTTCTTGGCTCCTGGTACCGAAGCGATGAGATCGGTCGCCGGGGTGGCACATTCTACATCGGCCTCACGCTCGGTACCCTCACGGCGTCCCTCCTCCAAGCCGCGGCAACGACCTACCTCGACGGCGTCCACGGCCTACGAGGCTGGCGCTGGCTCTTCATCATCAACGCCATCATCACCCTCCCCCTGGCCTTCATCGGCTACTTCATCTGGCCCGGCACGCCCGCCAAACCGAACAGACTCGTGGTGAAGAAGTCCGAACTCGACCTCGCGCGCTCGCGCCTCGAAAAGACAGGCAGCTCCGTCAACAACACCCCCTTCTCGTTCAATCTCCTGAAGCGCGTCTTCACCGACTGGCGCTTCTACCTCCTCGTGTTGTGGGACGTCTTCTTCTTCAACACCAGCTCCAACAGCGCCGCCTTCCTCCTGTGGATCAAGAGCCTGGGGCGGTACAGCACCGCCGAGATGAACAAACTCAACGCCATCAGCCCCGGCCTGGGCATTTTCTTCGTTCTGTTCATCAACTTCAGCGCGGACCTGTGGATCGGCCGGCCTGCGGCCATCACCCTCGCCTCGGCGGTCAACTTCACCGGGCTCGTCATCCTGGCGGCCTGGAACGTGCCGGAGGCGGCGAAGTGGTTCGCCTTCAGCACGTCGTACTCTGCGGTAGCCGTGTCCTCGGTGCTGTACGGCTGGGCGAACGTCATTTTGAAGAACAACATTGAGGAGAGGGCGTTGACGCTGATTCTGATGACGGCGATCGCGACGTCGACGAATGCATGGATTCCGCTGTTTGTGTATCCTACCGTTGAGGCGCCGAGGTTTCCGAAGGGCTATGTCTATTCTGCGGTCATGGTTGTGTGTTTAGTGGTTACGACGCAGGTTGTCAGAGTGTTGTTGGGGACTCAGGGGTAAGATTCGTTGTTTCTGTGTCGGAGAATGAGTGGCTAACAGACATACAGAGAGAAACGCCAGCCCCGGTCGCAGGATTCGTCCGTTGCAGAGGGCGCTTCGACGTCTGTCGAAGGTGACCATGATCGAAAGACATCGTCTCCGCGGATTGACGCTGTTTGATTGGAAAGGCACGGAATGACGCGGGTACTGAGACCTGAGCGAGAGCGGAAGGCTTCATATGGGCATGCATGTCTTTGTGGCTATGTGAGCAATACCGAATGTCTCATTCGAGGCAGTCTTATATGCGAGTTGCCACATTTGTGCAGGATGAGTCGGTTTTCCTGTGGCAAAGTAGCCATATTGAGTGAGCCATGGATGCTTGATACAAGCGCCGTTGAGAGAAACCTTCTTGTTCATCAAGAATGAGATCATTACACACAATCGCTGTTGGATCAGTCTACAGTACAAACAGTCTAATAACCCTCCTTCTTGTTGACAACGTTGACAAGTCTCTTCCCCTGACTCAACCGCTCCAAATTCAGATCCAAAATCCCCAGGATCCGCTCCGTGTAACTCGTCGACATACCGCTGATATGCGGCGTAATCAACAGATTCTTGGCCTTCCACAGCGGATGTCCCTCGGGCAGCGGCTCCGGGTCCGTCACGTCCAGCGCCGCGCCGCGGATGAGCCCGTCGTCCAGCGCCTTGATCAGGTCGTCCGTGTTGACGATCGGCCCGCGCGCAATGTTGGACACGAACGTCTTCTTCGGGGACAGGATGCGGAACTCCTCCGCCGCGAGCAGGTGGCTCGTCTTGTCGGTCAGCGGGGTCGCGACGACGAGCAGGTCGAGCCCGGAGCCGAGGAAGGCGTGCAGGTCGGCCTTGGAGGCGCCCGAGAACCACTGGGCGGGGAACTTGCCCTCCGGGTCGCCGAGGCCGGGCGGCGAGTAGCCGTTGTCGCGCTTGGAATCGGGCGTCGGGCGCGGGTGCAGAGTGTAGGCGTGCACTTTGAAGCCGAGGGCGGTGGCTACGCGGGCGGTTTGGCGGCCGATGCTGCCGTAGCCGAGGATGCCTCTGGGGATGAGGTTAGTGAGATGGTCTGGTGATGGGGGGAGTGTGTTGAGGGAGTGAACTTGCATTGTGCGACCGACGGCGTCTTCTACCCAATCATTTCCGCGAGACCACTTTCCTTCGCGGAAGTTGTCAATGTACTTGGGAACTGTTGGGTTGATGAGCACTCATGCGGTGTAACCTGAAGGGTTAAGCAACTCACGTTGATGCTGGAATGAGAGGTAGGTTGAGATGATCCATTCGGAAATCTGAGGTCTGCGCGGGGGTCAGTTGACCGACGGCCTCACTAGATACTAAAGAAAACTCACCCGTGGACACCGTTCGCCGTCGCAAAGACTGCATCCGTGTCCGTAAACAGCGGGTGCTTCAAGATGTGGTTCGCGCCGGCGCTCTGCAGCTGCACGTACTGCAGCTTCGGCGCCTGCTCCGGGTCCGGGAGAGCGCTGCCGGTGAGCAGGATCGTCACGTCCTTCCACTCGCTCTCGTTAAAGGTGCTGCCGGGCTTCTTCTCGGGGAAGCCGAGCTCGTGGTGGACGACCTTGAGATCCGGGAACTGGGAGTGCAGCTTGGCATAGAAGTCGTCGTCGGGCTTAAACTGGGAGAGGATCAGGAGCTTCTGGCCCTTGAGGGTCGGGTTTGGCGGCGGGAGGAGCATGATCATTTGGTTTTTGGTGTTGGCGTGAGGAATTACTCGGTAAGAGGAATGAAGCAGATGTGAGGCTTGGTGTTGTTTATGAACAGATGTGAAGTATTGATAAGCAGGAGTTTGAGCGCGGACGGGATTCAGGTTGGCGGGTTTCAGCTGGTCGGATCACAAATAACGGACAGAGGAAGCTCTCTCTCTCTCACACCGACCCATCCACCAGCGGAAGTCATGGCATAATCACAGCAGTAATGTACCCTGAAATGGAGGGGCATTGGAGCTGGTGCGGGGGGTCCAGTCTTCCAGTGTTTGGTTCGCTGGCCTCTGAGCGCATCGCAGGGCCAGATGGCGCAACAGGAAGGTCGGAACGCCGCCGATGCGAGTGTGTGGGGGGGAGTTCAGACGGTTGGCTCAATGGAATTGCGTATCTTTTGACTCGTCAATGGCGTCTGCGGCCAAGGGTCCTCACATCATTCATTCGTTGCTCGCTCCATTCGCGGGATTGGGGGACTCCGGCCCGGTGTCGGCGGCAATCGAACATGTCCGCCGGAGCCTGGCTGGATGTTTCTGCCGATAAGGCCGGTGACGCGGAGAATAGCTGGCTGAACTGAGGAAACATTGCAGATTGCCTCGGGAGCTGTCGACTGGGGATTGAAGCTCTATTCCCTGTCGCTACAGATGGATGATAAGATACCGATAGATGACTGCCATTCCCCTACCCCTCATCCCCACACCACCAGCTATCTAGCTGGTCCAGTCTCTTATTTCGTGGCGGTACTTTGCTCACATCTCCTATACACAATCTGCTTTTGAGGCTATAGATGTTGTAGATATGCTTGCCTTGATGCATCCTGACTCATCCTGACTCGGCCCAGCTGATGAAACACAAGTCCCGAAGGCGGTGAAAACAAACATAAATCTAACGTTGGTTGAGGGGCGCATGCATGATTTCTTCTCCACCTTCGACATAGGCGCGCCCTTTGAGAACCAGGTTGAGCCGTATAAATAATCTTCTGTCTGCAATTGAGGCTCTGCAACAAGCTATCTTGTGCCCAAGACACTACATACCGGCAACTCATTCTCTAAAATGGCCCCCTCAAACTCAACTGTCCGCCATGCGCGACGCGAAGGTAAGCCAGTAGCCTATCTTGCTGTCATGGAGGCGGGGGTCCATGAACTGACACTGCCCCAGATATTCCCATCATCCTCTCCCTGATCAAGGAGCTGGCGGACTACGAAAAGGAACTTGATAGCGTCCAGGCCACCGAGGAGTCACTCGGAAACACCATCGCCTTCGCCCCGGACGACCAGACCGCCTACACGGCGGGCAAGCCCGTGACGGAACCCACATCCCCCAGCAGACCCGCGAGGTGCCTCATCCTGTTCAACGAAGCGGGCGAGGGTGTCGGCATGGCCCTGTACTTTTACAACTACAGCACATGGCGCGCCAAGCCCGGTGTCTATCTCGAGGATCTCTACGTACGCCAGACGGAGCGCAAGAAGGGCTATGGCAAGCGCCTCTTGGTTGAGCTAGCCAAGGAGGTCGTCGCCATGGACGGAGGCCGACTTGAGTGGGTGGTGCTCAAGTGGAACGAGCCGAGTATCAAGTTTTACGAATCCATCGGCGCCAAGGCCATGGACGAGTGGGTTGGCATGCGTGTTGACGGTGACGCTCTGCCGAAGCTGGCTGGCTTGCTAGACTAGATAGAGTGGGAGCTGGGGTATAATAACAGAAACAAATAGACAAGGCACTAGTTTCCGCCAACTATCTGTCCCTGGGCATCGACGCCCTCAAAGATTCCAAGTTGAGGGCCCGATGCGATGGGCGGGCTAGTCAAAGGGTTACCCCAGACAAACTCACGCCCGTGCCGCCCCTTTTTATCGCTTTTAGTCTCCTCCACGTACGATGACGCCTGCCATAACCTGCTGAACTCCCTCCGAAGCTTTCTGTCGCTGTATGGAACCTCGCGCACCAGCTGTTGGGTCTGTGAGTATGGGCCGTCATCCGTCTTGCCCGTCAACCGGGTTCTCTTTCGAGACCGTGGTCTCTCGATTTCGCGGACGGGAATTGAGGCATACGCCGACCACGGGAAGTCCCCCTGCTTACTCTTCTCCATAGCAACTGGCCTGCGTGGAGCCAGTTTCCACAAGACCTCAGGCGCATCACCGCTGACAATCGAGCGCAACAAATCCCATTCATTGCGCTCCACTGGTGGCACAAGCCTGTCTGCCGTCCTCTTCCACCAAATACGTACTTTCTTTGTTTTCCTCTGGGTTGCTGTTTCTCGGCCCCATACGTCGTTCTCGGGGACGAACTTTTCAGGCTTGAAGTTGTCAAGTTCAGTTCGAGGCCAGCAATCCGATGGCGTATCGCGTTGCTGCGTCTTTTGGGAGGTGTAGAACTGGGTGAGCTTTTTGATGTCCCAGTTGTCTTCGATGGGACTGAGCTTCTGGCGAACCCAGGGCGTGGGATCGGTCCGGTCGAACACGCGCCTCGTCGGGGGAATCCTTTTGAGTCTCTGCAGCTTTCTGGCCTTCTGGATGTCTCGTTCTGAGTCAAACACTTGCATTTGTTTCTCGAGCTCGTTGATGTCCACGGGAGGATCGGGTTCCTTCTTGACAAAGTCGGCCATGAGCTCACGGCGTCGCCGGCCTAACTTCCCAAACACGAGCCATAAAACCTTGCGGAAGCGGTCTGTGTCGCCCAAGAGCGCGGCATTGAGGATGACAAGCTTCCTCTTACCTTCCGCGAGGGCTTTTGTGCGCAGGAAGTGTTCTTCTCGTTCTCGGCCATGGTCGCGCCCACGAGTGGGCAATTTGGCTGCTGCCGAGGCAGCTCTCGCTCGCTCTCGTCGAAAGCCGTCCTTGACCCAGTCCTCCAGGTAAGAACGGCAGATGAGCGGGAAGTATGTGGTAGCGCGGAGGAGGTGGCGGTAGAGGTGAAGGGGTCGGATAGGCCTCGGCAGGGGGATAACGGCGGTGGACGTAGCGGTCGCGGCTTGGAGGTGGCTCCAGACCTTCTTTTGCGGTGTGGGGTTTCGGATCGGGAGGCGGACCTTGGGCATGGTGATGGTGGAGCAGCAGGAGGCTGGTAAGAGACCGACAATCAGGGATAGGGCGGCAGGGACATTGTTGTTGCACTCGGCTGGTGTCTCGCAGTCGGGCAGAGACGCATGTACCGTTGCCGGAGTCGGTGTCGATACGAGTATCGATGTCGAACAGGATGCATGCAGGACGGAGGTAAGGTACGGTGCAGAAATTTGGAGATTTGGCTGCAGCGGTGACGGGGACTGGCTGGAGCTTCATCGGATCTGCCTCAGGAGCCGAGGGGAAAGTGGCCCAAGCTTCCTGGGATGGGGGGGCAGTTGCCGTAGAAAAGTGTTATTTACAAGGCAAGAACAACAGAGGTTCGATGTTGTTGAAAATGGCATGAATTGCTAATTGAATATTGTTGAATACTGATACCTAAGAAAAGGTCTAATTAGTCTTTTCGTCAGCTGTTTAGTATGCAGTATTTACATCTTGAAGCATAGCTACGTGAGAATACCATTCGAGATCAGACTGCTTGTTGGCAAAGTAGGTACCCAGCATTGAAGTCTGAACCAACAATCATCAACCATCAAGAATTAACTGCCGATCTTAAGGTAATCGTTAACTGTTTACATGTTAGGTAAGATACTCATCGTGACTGGCTCTGGTAAAGGGACTGGAGGTGGACGCGATAGTAAGAGGCCCGGGCCCGGTCTGCGATAAGGGCACCCGCGGCACGTCGACTACGCGTCACCGACGCTCCCCCCTCGCAGGCCGACGTGAATGCCCTTTCACTTTTCGCGGTGAGCAGGGCCGGTACGTACCGTCAGTGCCCCACCTTCCACCAGCAATCCAGCAGTCTGAGTGGCCCGTGCAGCTCGCTTAAGCAAATGGGAAGGCACGAATTCTGGCTCGCACCTGCTTGCTCTGTGTGTCTCTGCTGGCAGCCCCCTCCAGCAAGCACACGGTCCCCCCCCCCCCCCCCCCCTCTCGCCGCCCTCTTCCCTCTGTAAATTGGACGCGACACGCTCAAAAGACCGACACGCCCTTTTTCGCGAAAACCGCGAATCGACACGTCCACCACTTTTAATTGAAATTCCATTTCGGGAACCCGCTGCGGACCTTTTTCTCATTTTCGGTCCCCGGACGACGGCTGGGCGACAGGACCATTTGCGAATACCTGATATCCACCTCCAGTCCGATAATTCAGCTTTCTGCCGAATACCCTACCGATTCTCTGTACTCTGTACTGACTGTGAACTCTGCCGGCGGGTCGTTTCTGTTGCGAATACCTACTTCGCACTTTTGCACTGGGCTGCCAATCCTCTTATTCTCCGTCTCTCTCCTCTCCTCTCTCGGTCTCTCCCCCCAGCACCTGAACCACCACTCTCGGATTCCGGTCTAGATCCCCTTTGAGACGACCACCCAACCCTTGACGGCATCTGAAGCGCCTATCCGCCCTACGCCATTTGCCATTTACGCCATTCCGACTATTACTCTCAACCGTCGTTCAGTAGTACATTGGTTTCCCTTTGGCGTATCCCCCTAACCATCGCCTGTCATCCTTCCACCACTCAAGTTGCTTGCGTTGCCGCATCAGCATCGCACAAAGCTGCCAAAGCACCGAGCCGCCGCGCAAAGCGATCCGACAAAACGCTCGCCTGCCCATCCACGCACACCAAGAAAGCCCCGGCCGGCTGCACGCATTCACAATCCGACTCTTGTCGACCGCCAAAGCTGTCGCAACCACAACTACCTCATTCCTCGACCCTGCTTCCTCCATATCTGGAAAGCCACCGCCGCCGCCGCCGAGTGATCGACCATCCTCGCCCACCACCTCTGCCTCCCTTCCGAACCCCCTCTTGATCGCATCGCCTCCCGTCGCAGCTCCCGCCTCCAATGCCCTAGTGCCAGCGGCACATGTCTTCGACCACCGTCACAGCTAGTCAACCCACTTCACATTCCTTCCATCTTCCCCGCGA